GACATGTAAAGCTCAAAAAGCATGTACAAGTCGAGAAATAGCATCAACTTTAATAACTAAAATGTTTACTACCACGTCAGACATTAACTTTTACTCTCGTCACCGAACATGCTCACTCTTTCAGCCGTGGGGAAGTTATAATGTAACGGTCAATCCCACTATTTAACGGCAAAAGAGTTGGCGGTGAGAGATGTTGACTAGATGCATTCCTTCTAGTCTATCACTGGTAAATTAGGAACTGCTATATAGCTTTGAAAAAAATTTAAAAAAAACTAAACAAACTTTTACACTTCTTTGTTTAGAATTGGTTCAAATGCAGAAAGATCCGATAAGGAATTCTAATGAGGTGTGTTAATGTTAATCATTCGAACTTATCAGCAATTTTGGTGTGTGAACAAACATCAGAATTATTACTAGTACTCAAGTTAACATTTTAGGGGGGGAAATGTCACAATTATCTATGTTAACATAAACCTCTAACAAGTTTTTGGTCTTACAAAAACGAAGAGCTATCTGTAAAGCATAACTATATTACAACTGTATACACAGTTACGTTATTATTTTCCTGAATTGAAGTACCGGTAATATCTCTTTGTGAATCAATTTGGCTCTAAATATGTCCTACATATAGAATGGAAAAACATATGGATTTAGTTGCTCATCTTGGTGAAAAGCTACACAATGGCCTATGTGTATTCTCTCCACTGCGGGTAATCGAATCCCGGATTTTAGAATCGAAATTCGATAAATTTACCGCTGACCCACCGAGAGACATGGACTTAATGGATCACCTGGTCGTAAACCTATAAAAATCAATCTGAGAGCGACAGCTTTTAACAAATGGGCTTCCCATGGGGAATTATACAATGTAGAAGTCGGTGTTTTGAACTGTGGACCGAAATTATAACTACCCAGTGTCTTATGCAAGAGAGATCATTCTATTACATCAAACGTTTTTTTCCATATGATTGAGGTAAAAATACCTTTCATTTTAGACATTATATTTTTTGCTTTGTTCATCAATTGTGTTGTCTGTTCCTTTTGGAAAATTGGTAAAATAACCCCTCGGTGGCTCAACGGTAAGTATGAGGGCTTACAACGCTATTAATTGAGTTTTGGTATCCGCGTTGGGGAGAGCACAGAGAGCTTAATAATAAACAAAAAAAATGCTGCTTTAACGTCAGTTGTTAAGAATGAAAGCGAAAATCAAGAGTAGAAAATTCAACTTCATGGTGAATGTGCATAATGATCTTAAGAAGCTTAAAGAAAGATAAAATAACTGTGAAACAGTTGCCAATTGTAGACCGTTAGCGAAGTGACATGCATTCAAAAAATTTTAAATAGTAAAACGGTACTGACATACAGTCAAACGGTTGTCAATAGTAGAGTAGTACCTAAGCGACATTCAGTCGAACAGTTGTCAACAGAAGAGCGATAGTTAACTGACACGCAGTCAAGTACAGTAGTTACCAATTGTAGACCGGTAGTTAAGCTACATCATTCAAACAATTGTCAATTGTAGACCGTTAGCGAAGCGACATGCAGTCAAACAATTGTCTTTACTAGAGCGATAGTTAACTGACACCTAGTCAAGTACAGTAGTTGCCAATTGTAGACCGGTAGTTAAGCTACATCATTCAAACAATTGTCAATTGTAGACCGTTAGCGAAGCGACATGCAGTCAAACAATTGTCTTTACTAGAGCGATAGTTAAGGAACATACAGTCAAATAATTTTTAAAAGTGAAGTGGCAGTTAAGTGACATATTTTCAAAAGTTATCAGTAGTAAATTGACTGCCAAGTGCTATACGGTATGGTTTTAATGACCAGTTTGTTTGTTTGTTTTGTATGTCTATAATGCTCCTGAGTTCTGACCTTTTATGGTTATTTTTGTTTCTCCAATGTATTGGAGTCCACATTCATAAATAATGTTGTAAATGCGTTTATGTTCTCCGTTGAGTCTATAGTTAATTTGAGGCTTTTTAATTACCATTGTGTAGAGTTATGGCTGATGGACGTCATAGCCCTTATTGAGAAAGTACACTAGTATAGCGAAGTTGTTAATTGTTGTAGATATAAATGGCACAACGTTTTGAAGAAGAGAGCCTTTAATGTTCTCCATGTAAGCAGAGAAACCCACACAGTAAGGCGTTTAGAACATCAACGGTCTCCAAAACTACACCGTAACCCAATCTAAAGTGAAACATTTTTTTTATGGCGAGAAGTTTATGGTTGAGAAATAGAACTCCATTGGAATGAAGCTAGGCATATCTCTTGAAATGTTTAAAAGTATCATAAACAAAGATTTGATGAAAACTCATAAGACTCAACCACACATTGAAATATACGGCTGTTTTCGTAAAAAAATAGAACCGAAAAAACTGATGTATCAAATGCTCCGATGTAAATCCAATGGACTTTTGTGCGTTTGATCTGCTTAGATGAGGTTTTGGAAGCGAATTTTCACGTGCAGTTGAGTCTGCGAAAAGTTCATCGCGATGATGGTCTAAGATTGCCCTTGTTATCCGTCGCTAAGCTTGTTACAATAGAGAATCACAATGTCAGGAAATAATACTTAGTCATATCCATGAGAAAGAGCACGATAGATGATGGAGGAAATTGTTCAAAGGGCAGTACGTGATCTTGTGCATCATTCTTATAGAGTGCGTTTAACCTCAGCAAAATGTCATTTCAATCTTTTAATTAAACAGATAACCTTCAAATACTTATCGGGAACAGTAACAGATGTAAAATAACTTATAAAAAGAAATGTATATTTTCTATAGTATGAAAGACGTGCATAATTTGTTTGAAACCTTTTTATTTTCAACTAATTATTTGGATTTCATATCTCTTGTATAACGTCTTTAGATGCGATACTTAAGATTCTTGTTTCCTTGGACGTAGAAAGGCCAAGGAATTGTTAGGCTAAGGCCGACGTCAGTATCTGTTGTATAGAATAGGGTGTAAAATCTGTGCCTTATCTCCAACTGGCGAGAAGTGGTGCATGACAATAAGGCTTAGCTAACGTTATGTTAAACTATAAATTCTCCCAAGTATAAGTTATCCTGACTTGCTTGCCTTCTTCCTATGAGCAAAAAAAAAAAAAACAAACAAAAAAAAACTTGTAGGGTCAACACCTTTCTGAAAGGGTATTTCAAAAAATACTATAGTTAAATCGAGGGATGCACGGGTAGTAGAATTTGGCCGAAAACCGGGTCCGGGTACCCTGTCACTAAGCTTCGGTCGTGGCCGGGTTCTCCCCCCCCCCAAAAAAAACAACAACAACATACACACAAAAATTAGAAACAAAAACAAAATAAACAAAACAAATAATCACCAACAGAACATTTATCTTTCAACTTTCAATGCCTAGCCCCAACTTCTCAAACCCTAACCCCTATTGTTCTCAAAACTCCCACCTTCCTCAGAAATCCTCTTCTCAAGCCATGCCTGTTATTAACCCCTATTGTTCTCTGAATCCCCGACTTTCAGCGTACGGTCAGCTTTTGTTGCTCGGAACACGTTTTTTTATAACTAAACCGCGTTAGTTGCTACAAACATTAGGGCTTAGATACCCAACTTCGACACTAGGCCAGAACCGAGTATTACCGGGTAGCCCAATACCCGGCCGGAGCCAAATATCTGGCCGGGTACCCGTGCATCCCTAGTTAAAACTATATATATGTATTAAATCCTCTTTATCTAACATGTAGTTTCACTTGCGAAGTTTGGGACACGACGACAACACACGACAGAAAGAGTATACGTATTAAATACTTCAATCTCTAACTTTTTTACTTAATCATACGTTTTGTATCTATTCGAAATAAAAATATTTATAAACAAAACGACCTGTATATTTTTTTTTCCGATCGTCTACGGATATTATTTCGTTATTATAAAGAGGATATCCTGGTGTTATGGATATTAAGGGCTTGATTTGTACGTGATATTTCACTCATTCTCACGCAGTTTTAGTAAACCAATTATCATAAGCAAAACATACGTTGTTTACGGGTCAAAGTTTGGGACTCACATATGGAGTGTAATTAGAGTTTAAATGATTAAACTCAAGCGATACAGGATAAATCATTATAAAAATCAAGACTACAAAACTGCAAATAAAATTGTTGTTTTTTATTAATACCCTATGCTTCGGCTTCCACACTTCTTAAAGGTAAATACTTATAAAGTATTTCAGAGACGTCTATTACGAGAATCATAAACACTTAACCACTGAAAAAGAAAGAAACCGAAACGTTGGGTATTAATAAAATAATAATAATAATGCCTTTGGATTGTGTGGTCATGGTTTTTATAATACTGGATATTATGTTAAGCATATCTTTGATATCTAGCTTATGTAAACGCAATTTACATTTGTACTAGGCACCTTCATTAAATATGTGAAATCAAATACTAGTAAATTTATTATTTTTAACAGAAGTGCGTTTAAAGGTAAATAGTACATGACTTTGCTTTGATGGCACTGATGTGGAGATTAGATCTTTACTACTTCTGCGCCAAACTGTTGTGGTCTCTCGTATGAAATACGGGCATACCCTCAAAATCAAACAATGTTGATGCAATCCCTAGACTAAACGATAAAAGCCAACCTCAAAAACAGTTTTCTCAAGTATTTCCCATTTTTTCATTTAATTCAAATTACTAGAGAATTCACAGAGAACGTGATAAAAAGCTATAAAATAATGACTCTTATATTCTCTGTGAAATGTTTTCTGAAAATATAGTTTCCCAAGTAAAACATATAAGCCGACACTACAGAATTATTAGGATCTTGAAAAAACCTTGAGGAAGCTTATATAACAATATATAATGTTGAACTAATGGTGTGAAACTATGTAGTTTTAGGTTACTGGAACAATACTAATGATTACTGTGGATCCATGTTTAAGACAAATTATGTTTACTACAGAACTAGACAGCTATTCTAATGCCCGATTTGATATTATTTAACTAAAACAAAATACATTGGATTGCTCTATTGATACTTTATTTCTGAATATGTTTCCACTACTACAGTGTACTAAACTTGACATAAGATATATATATAAACATGATGTACTATATTTTGTTTTAAAGCTTGACTTAGTTTACGGTGCATTGTTGACAACTAAAATTGAACGTTAAAGTGATTTTCATTTCAAATAATAACTTTGGAAATTGTATTACAGAGAACGTGTTCAGTAAACAAAAAAAGATACAGGAGGACACTAAAGACCAGTCCACTTCAATGTGCAGATCTGTCAAGTTTCTCAGCAACAGTTTAATCTATTCTCCACTGGTCCATCTAAAATAAGTAGAAATCACTGTTAGGAATCCCTGGTATAACGTGTTTAATCCGAAACAACGAAAAATAATGATCAAATAATTTAGTTCGTATCCTAAAACCAGAACGTACCAATTCTCTTGTGATGAAGAAAAGAAAATACGATGTACTTACAAGTACATAAGTAGATAAAGTACTCCATGATTTGTAAACGTTGATTAGAAAATAATGCAGGATATACAGAGTTACGGAAAATATTTAAATTAACCTTTTCTATCGTCATGAGAGAGGATGGGATTTGTAATGGGTTTTGGATTCTAATCCCGTCCAGGAAACCTCCTAACAAAACAGGGCAGAGGGCTAAGGTTAAATATTTCTACAATTCAAGACTCCTAAAACCATATTTGGCAACAAACAATCTTTGTAAGCTATTGACAAATCTCGAGACTTTACCAACATTCCGTCCTCAACATGCAAGCAAGAAGATGAAACTGAAGCACGAAATTCAGTAGTTTAACTGCATGGCTTGCGCATCTGTTTGGCAAGTAGAACCGCTTTTGTCCATACTTTAGTTGACTGGGTGTGACAGATACTTCAGTATTGTTAGCATTGTGAAGAAAGAGCTAGAAATCATACGTTCTTGGAGTTATTCATGCCAAGGGAGACGTTACACATTAATAGAGCATTGATTATTAGGACCCTCTCTGTGAACCACATGTACGAATATATTTGACAGGATAGTGTCACTAGAGGTAGTTAGCTACTTTTAAGTAACTAAAATTAAAATTTTATTCAGTCTACAGGGACGGAAAGACTAGCTTCAAGTAGCTGGGCTTGTCTCGGCTTTCCCATGTTATACTTGAATACATTTTCAAGAGAAAGGGGGGAGGTTGGGAGTATGAACTACATAAGAAATATTAAGGTAGGGCTTGTAGTTCTATTTAAGATCTTTTATTATTTGATTTCTTTGTAAGGGCGGAGGTTGGGGGTGACATATTGTAGAAATATCAAATATCATTTCATTTCTACTTTAGGAATTCTAAGAACTGTTAAGGGTAACTGCCTTCCCACAACTGGCTGTGAAAGGCAATAGGAGTTGAGTCGTTATGGGTGTAAGTACTCAACTCCATACCCTTGATTGATTTTCCATGGTTACTGGCTAATTTAACATAAGCGTTTGGATTTTGTCTGGTAGATGGGATATCCCCAACACTTTTGAGAGCTATTACCACAGACAATATCCGTTATGACTTTAAGGTGACGACAGGGAATTACAATGGTTTTTGCGAACAACATCTTAATGCTTATTTTATATTAAGTTCATTATTCTTTTATAGTGTTGATTTTAATCGACTAATAACAACTAATGTAATTAATGTAAATAATAGTATTGAAGCTGTTTATTTCATTGTATGTATATATAACTTTGTCTACCCAACTACCAATTTTTCTGAAGTACGCGGTTATATACATTGGTTTTACAACTTTTCGTGTGTTTTTTTACATGTATGTAATTATATAATTTGTCTAAACTTGATTTATATCTCACAGTTCATATCTCCGTTGCTCATTACTGAGAATATTATTGTACCACTAAGTGCATTAGCTCCTATCCAGGCATATCGGCATCCGCATTTTGTCATTCCTAACAGTGATTAATTTCTCTGTTTTTACTATTATTTGATCTCTCTGTAAAAGGATGATATATAACTTAACACTGGTACATCCTTTCGTTATGATAGATGATTTTTTCTGATTAAATGGTAGCTGAGTCAGGGAGAGATTCTAACCCACAATTATGGTTAATGGGCAAACACTGTAGTCAACTAAGTCAGCGAGTCTCAAATGCTTTAAGCATAGTTTTAATTTCACTGATTGGTTAGCATAGAACATGGTAAGCAGAGTTTTGAATCTGTATCTTTATGTTAAGAACTAAAACGTTAATATTTTTGTGTGTAGTCGCTACAGAAACCAAGTAATTATTTAGCTGTCTCTGTTTAATCATGTATACAACTACATTGAGTATGTAAAGAACAAAGTTTGATACACTTAGCCCTACAATCACTACCTTACTTCCACTTTAAACATCACAACTGTCTGGCTTGGAATGATCAAGGAACAGATCAGCACTTAACAAAAGTCACGAAAAAATTTGCTTTCATCCCTTTAATTGAGCGCTTTTTGAGAAATCAAATGCCTAACCATACAAAAGTCTTGAACTAAGATTTTTTTTTCTCTCTGTTTTTAACATGCACGTGAATAATACAACGCACCTTACTCAATGAGGGTTTTTTGGAGAGCGTAATATGCATAGAAGTGATATACGCAGATAATTTTTAACTAGAAATTTATGCTGTGTTGAAAAACATATCATTGCTTCCAGTGCTCAAGGAATGTTTACAGAAAAGAATTAAAGTCGTACTTACGGGACGAGAACAATCCAACATTTTCAGATTGATAACTGTTCCAATGCACGTTTCGGTCTGGAAACAGAAAATTAACTATTAATTATACAGAAATAAATAAATCATTTTATTTAAGTGTGTGATATATTTTAATTCCTTATTATTTTTTTCCAATTTTAAGGTAATAAACGTATGATCTTTTTGTGAACTTGAGCATAAGATTAGAAAAATAATGATTATACAGCTAGTTACCAAAGGAATTATCGACATTATAGTATAATATAATATGAAATAAACTTTTACCCAGATATATCAATGGTTCATTTAAACATGTTAAAATGATAATGTATTCCATTTCAGTCTAAAAAGAGTTCCTCTTTTGTACAGCGATATTTGCTTATGAAGCTAACAACGTATTAAACTACAGCTATAGTCAACACGACCATATGATTAATGGTTGAAAAAACAACATCAATGTGGGATGTGCATGGTGAGATAATGCAATGTGTTGATAGATATAAGGTAAGAAAGGTATGGAATGCCAAACAAACCACACATTTTGTGAGTCAAATAGAAAAAAATATTTCCATAAGATGGAAGTAAAATTTTTGTTATTAAAACTTCCGTTAAATAGATCTTTTTATTTAGTTTCAAATTATTTTCGTCGTACTTACTCGTTTTTAACAGGCTAACATTGTTCTACATAAAACACGATGTATATTATAATAACAAGTGTGATAATGGAGAAGAAAAAACAGATGATTTCAATATACATCGTGTTTCATGTAGAACAGTGGCATTCAAACAAGTGTGATGATGGAGAAGAAAGAAACGGATGTGAATGCCACTGTTCTACAAGAAACACGATGTATACTGAAATAACAAGTGTGATGATGGAGAACAAAGAAACAGATGTTACTGCCACTGTTCTACGAGAAACACGATGTATATTGATATAACAAGTGTTATGGTGGAGAATAAAATACAAATGTAAAAAATGGACTGGTTCGTATTTAGTTCAATGGAGTTATAAAACTCACCTGTGGATAGATAAAAAAAGAAGTAAGATGAGCATTAGCACGAACTTTGAAATGTACTTGTATGCAAAATCTCAAAGATATGTGAATGAAAAAAAGATACCATACATATGACATAAAAATTACCCTTTATAAGAAGTATGACAACAATCGTGTAGGTAACTTTAAGTAAGAAAAATAATATGTTACACCTTCTCATGAAACATTTCGTTACAAGACAGAGAACGTAATATAGATTCTCTTACCACCAGTTTCTTTTCAGTTGCCAGGTCCTGTGAAATAATTGAAATATATACATTATAGATCCACGCTGGTAGAAGATAACTAAGTTAAAATACCGCAATATTATAATATTTTTACATAACAAACTTTAAGTCTATACGATAATCCCCCACAGGGGTTAAGTTTAGGTTTTTGTCCATCTTTTACGGTGAATAGTGAATTTCTTTTTCAGGGTATTTTATTCGACGAAATCACACAGATGTAGGCTTGGAGAACAAAGATTATCAATCTACCACTTCATAAAAGTAATGAAAATCTGCTTTGCATTTTCAATAATTCTCGTACACACATTATATAACAATTCTAGTGTACTTGGTGTATTATCTATCAAATAGTTGATTTTTGTTCCTTATTCCTTTTTGATAATAACACTATTTATAACAACGTATGTACGCCAAACATTGAATAATATTTTTATGTGATGTTTAGAAAACAACTTGTCCAATTGAACATATACAATTTCAAACGTCAGTCAAAATCAGTGACAGAAGTTTGTACTCACCATCTCTAGATCAAGCGCCCCCAGTGGCACAGCGGTATGTCTACGGGCTTACAACGCTAGAATCCGGGTTTCTATACCCGTGGTGGCAGAGCACGCATAGCCCATTGTGTAGCTTTGTGCTTAATTACAAACAAACTCTACATCAGGCATCTGGCCAACGTCAGTCAGAAACAGTTAAAGAAATTTGTACTCACCATCTCTACATCAGGCATCTGGCCGCATGTTGTGGTGTTTCCTAGTACTTTCACCTTATAGCAAAAACAACAATTCAGAATTTACATACGTTCTCTGTAGCATTATCGTGACACTTGTGAACATTCAAAAATCATAATATTAATAAAAGATTTATTCACCTGTATAACCATTTTTCGATAAGTTATCGATACAATGAAATTCCAATGTTTATTAAAATTGTTAAACATTATGAAGTTTACCAAGCTATGCTAACACTACACTGGTTCATGAAGAGTAAAAAAGACTCAAAGATTTTGAATCTAAGTTTTATCTTCTATAACTTAACTTAAAGGAAATACTGTTTACCATATGATATAAATTATTTATAAACAACATTTAAACAATTGTGAAGTTTAGGGCTTTTACACTACTCTTGGATAAGTGTTATTACTTTTTATTCTGAGTTAAAAATGATATTTAATTTAAAGTATTTAACATCTAAAATCTTGTGGAACTGGCTTACTTTTAAACACATCGCACAACAATATATATATATGTATATACTTTTTTTTTGCATTCACTCAGCTCCAATTGTAATTCTCTAATTAATATTGATTCTTTCACCATAATATTTGTTCTTAATCGTTAATAAAAGTAAAAAAAATCATTGTACAATAATAGTAGCTATACTGATCAAGTGCGTAAATTTTTTTGCGTATTTTCATCAGCGAGGCACAGACCCTTGGAAACGATAATAAATCACCATACTTCATAACCGAAAGTGTCTCAACCATAGAACATTGTTCGATGGTACTTTTAAAAGGGTTTATTAGATATGTGGAAATCGCTTCTGATTCTCCTTCACTTTAAGTTTCAGGTGGTTTTTGTTGGAAGTGAAAGAGCTAGGATAATGAAGTGTGTACGATGACAGCAAACATTCTGCCTTATAGAGCGCAGCTGTTTTAAACTGGAATAAATTTTCAAAGAGGTGTGGAATGATGTTTCTTCCAAGAATGAAGAGTTCACCTCATGTCTTTAATAGAACACTTTCTAGGATGAAGGGATGCGAAAAATAAATGTTTACTTCATGATTGGATCGCAGTGACTTTAATGAATTTTTCTTCAAACTAGTCCAGAGTTGTTTATATAGATTTTCTTATATAGATAAAATTCGAATGAGCAAAATATTATACAATTATTACCTTTAAGAACACCGCAGTTAATAATACAGGGTGCCCAAAAATTATTCAGCCGCTTTATTAATGGTTTGCAGTATAATGTAGGTTAACATCTCAGGTTTATCCATACACAGTGGCGCCATTAGCACACCTCAACATGAGAATCGTTCGTGGATCGCAAGATGTACAGGTGATAATCGGCCCCCTCCCCCCATACACACACCCAAGTACGTGACAACATCTCTGGAGTAATGTTTGCAATAACATTAGTTCTTCGGACACGTAACGTTGCCATATCGTATTTTATATGCATCCCCATATAAACTAATGGGAAAAAAACTTCAGACATCAGTTTCCAACATGCGCTAACTGCCACTTGAAGAGATGCAATAATTTGTGTACATATATGTCTAATATATCTAAGCAAAGTAATTGTGACTTATTTAACCGCATCTATTCGAAGAACACTTTTGACGTGATGTCTTGATTTTATGAAATTCAAGATCAAGACTACTTTATTCAGTTGTTTAATTAAATTAAAAGCCCTACATTACTTGTATCTGTAGAACTTAAATACTCACTGTTGCTAATCGGTTGTTGACTTTAAATTTTCATTGTATAGTTTTGGAGTATGTGAGGTAGGTATAATTTTTACTTTAAACCAATTATTTCTCTATTTAGATAAATATAAAAATTAGCCTATCGAGAAAATACCGATCGCACATATCAAAAACATTTGACAACCAGTTTAACAATCGTTTTCTGAGATGTAGCGGATTTGTTGAAGGGCAGTTTATTTGTTTCTTTTACATTTTTCGCGAAAAGCTACACGTAGCCCTATCTAACTTTCGAAGGAAAGGAAGCTAAACAATAGCAGCTACCATAAACTCTTGGGCTATTTTTATCTGACCGAAAGGAAGCTAAACAATAGCAGCTACCATAAACTCTTGGGCTATTTTTATCTGACCGAAAGGAAGCTAAACAATAGC